GTATATATATAGCACCGCGGCGACGACTGAGGAATGGGGGCGGTGGGAGGGGAAGAGGGGAGGGGAAGCGACGGGGGTACGGAAGAGAGTTTTCTTTAGTTTTAGCTTTAGACCCGGACTTTTGTAGAACTGGTGCCTGTGGCGCTGGACGAAGGGGAGGATGTCAAAAGATCCATCTCTCCCCCGCACCCCCCACCCGCCCAACATCTTCCGCATCTTAATATGCCACTCTCATCTTCAAACATTTGCCACTTTCTCCTCTTTTTCTTGAAGATTTCTTCTTTTGTGCTTCCTTGAGAAGACATCGGATTGCTATTGTGTAGTCGGAGGCACTGATTGATTTCCCATTTGAAATTCGTTTAGTAAGGAGTATCTTCTCCGATACATTATGAATGAATTTTAATACTCGAATCATCGATCGGACCAGCTTGTCCCATTTGCTAAATCGACTTACAGAAATCCATGTTTCTTTGTCTTCGTCGATAACTGAGTCGATTATTACCATTTCTTTCGGTTGTTCGTCATCGGTTCCAAAGGTTCTTTGTTTTGCTCGAAAATTCTCAATTGCCGTGCCTTCTCGTCTTTGGATAATTATATCGGCCCCTTCTATCACAGAGAACATTTTTTCAAATTTTCTGGAGTCATCGACTCACAATTATCAATCGTTGAAACATGTCTGAATTCAGCATCTGTTTTCCTTATTTCCTCAATACGATTTTGAACACATTTTATCTGCGTTTTCTTTCCTTTTGAATCCAGTTCAACACGCATATTGAGTCACTCCAAAGGCAATTTTTCACCTTTTCCATTTGTAACTGATTCACAACAAAATTCATTGCTCTCACCCCCATCAATACAGCTAGCAGTTCGCTTCTTGGGACTATTATTCCTTTGATAGGACACAACCTCATTTCTGAAAATGTCAATGATCATTGAACATTTTTCACCTGTTCCATTCTCAAAGGCATCCTTTGATGCATCGGTAAATACATGAATTTGCGCAACACTTTTTGTTCCCGCAGTTCGCCTTGGAATTTCAAAACTGATTGAATTCCAACTCCTCACTATTTTT